ATTGGATTTGCATAGAAAGATACAAAGACTGCAAATGGCTACAATTTATGTTGTATGCATTGTAGTTTATCATTTCATAATCAAAAGTGCTCGAAATAGAATACCAAGTCATGCTCTAATCATAGAGAGAGAGAGAGAGAGAAAGAACGAGCTAAAACGGTGAAAAAACTTGATACTAATGAGGGTCGTAAAATAATTAGAATGGATCCAAAAGCTTTTATGGACCTATGTGCCATGCTACAGAGTGAGGGTGGTCTTTTGCCAACACAACGTGCGTGTGTACAAGAACAAGTGGCAAAAGCCCTCCATATCCTAACACATGGTATGAAAAGTCAAGTGGTTCAGTTTTGGTTTCAACGTTCCGGTGAAACTATAAGTCGTCATTTTCATCGTGTGCTTAAAGTAATTATTGCTCTAGAGGGAAAGTATCTCAAACAACCGGATGGATCACAGATACCTTCAACAATTCTAGGGAGCAGTCGATTTTATCCTTATTTTGAGGTATAAATTATTTTAATTTTTAATTTAGAAACATAATTTTCCGATAATTTTGATATATGTGGTTCCTTTGATTAAGATGTTTGAGATTGTAAGATTTTTTGTTTCGTGTTAACTTTTAAAAATGATAGTTTATTTGGTCATGATGATGAATGTAATGATGCCATTCTTTGACAAAGGTGCTTGAGAGTGTAAGTTTTTTGTTTGTTGTTAAGTTATTAAAATTATAATTTCGATAATAATGGTAAAAGTGATGACAAATGTATTTTGTTTATTTAATTATTAATTGCAAGTTTCAGATATTATATTAATGATTTTTTCTTTTTGGTTACAGGCCATATCAGTGAAGGCAAATGTGTGTGAAAGTCGAGCTTATTGGAAGTGCATTGACTTGTTTATGTTATTGATTGGAACACGCTAGATTAATATAAGTGCTAGTACTTGAAATAAAATGTGAAACATAATATGCTGAGATAATATTGTCCTATAATTGTTGAAGTTAATTGTCTTCTTTTATATTTTCATTTTTCATTTCGCTTTAATATTTTGTCAAAAGTATGGGTATATAGTAAGTTTTTAGATATTTTATACTTCAATTATTTTAAATATTAAACAATTTTTTTGAATAAAATAATTTTTTGTTTGCTGAAGTAAAATTGAAATGTGAATTTAAATATTGTTTTTATTTAAATAAACATTATGATGTTTTAACAAAAAATATGAGTTCGTTTTTTGACTATGTTTTTTACTTATTAGCTTACTAGTCATTTTTTCATTAAGTATGTAATTTTTTATTTTGTGTGTTGAGTTATATAATAATAAACCGATTTTGTTAATTTCATAAATTTTTTATTTCGAATTTGGTATCACCAAACATGCTCTTTATGATTTATATATGTAAATATTGAAGCATTTTTTCAAGAAAAAAAATCAAAGCAACTAGTAATCTAAACAATAAAAAAATATAACATCCAATGTACTATAACGTTTATACAATGAGAAAGGGGTACACGTGTCATTTTAATTATATGTCCTCCAAAACCTCCCTATTTGGAAATTTGTAACTCCCAAACAAGAGGAGGGAATCCCTTCCTATCTCCCTCCCCTTCCCTTCCCTCTACTACCCTTCAAAGCCTTCCCCTTCCCTCACCTTCAAACTCCCAAACACACCCTAAAGAAATCCCCAACTAATCTGAAATTCTAGGGACGAACATCTAAAGGTTCATCATCGTTGCACCAATCGAGTCAAATTCTTGATCAAAGCTTTGTACACGAACTAGAAAGTTGCGGGGCTAGGGAGAAATTGAAGCCTCTGATCATCTGATGTTCTTCGTTCAATCAACGAGGCATTTTCTTCTTGGACTCCTTACCAATGCTTCCCTCCCCCGGCCCAATAAATGCCAGAATATTGCAAGACAGTGATGAGTAGTCATTGACATCCAAATGTTTAGACATAGGATGGGTCGGTATGTTTCAAGGACATTGGACACCTAAAAGAGTATAAAAGTGGAAAATCATTTTGGGAGAACCAAAAAAGGAAATTTTGCAAAACAAATTGGGACGAAGGGTATTAATAAGGGGTTTTAAATGTTTTGTGTGGAACCGTAATCCAATTCCGTTGTAGTCTAGTTGGTCAGGATATTCGGCTCTCACCCGAAAGACCCGGGTTCAAATCCCGGCAACGGAAACAACCTTTTTGTTTTTTTTATTCAATTCGTTTAACATTTAAATTAAGTCTGTAAAAAACTACTCCTGGTCAAAGTTCCGTTGTAGTCTAGTTGGTCAGGATATTCGGCTCTCACCCGAAAGACCCGGGTTCAAGTCCCGGCAACGGAAATAACCTTTTTGTTTTTTTTATTCAATTCGTTTAATATTTAAATTAAGTCTGTAAAAAACTACACCTGGTCAAAGTTCCGTTGTAGTCTAGTTGGTCAGGATATTCGGCTCTCACCCGAAAGACCCGGGTTCAAGTCCCGGAAACGGAAAAAAAATTTTGGATGTTATTTTTAATTCAACTCGTTTAATTAAGAAGTAATCGTTTGCTCATTCATAAATGCAACTCTCTTAAATGCAACAACTGTTGGCTAAAACTAAGAAATGCTCCTGTCCATTGTAAAAAGTTATTCAATATAAACGCAACACAACATTTTATTACTTTACTGTTATTGATGTATACTATTTAAAACGGCAAGAATGTTTTTTTTTTGTCTGTGAATCCGGTTCACAGATAATATTTTGTTTGTGCAAAACATTGTCTATGAATCGATGTTCACAGACAAAAAGAAACCTTTCACAAACATAAGTGTGTACAAAAGTGTGTATAAGAGTGTGTACAAAAGGCTCTTTTGTTAAAACGGAATAAATGTCGGGTAAAGAACCAAGAAACTATTTCAGCTCATTCATATATTTGCTTGATAAATAATACTACTAGAGAGCTCATCACCCATATATAGGTAGAAGAAAACAAATATCACCCCAAACCTTTTAAATTACAAAAAGTGACTAGTTTTCCCGTTTTCAAAAAATTGACTAACATTTTGTTTAATGACCCTCTTTGTTTGATTTCTTTTTGTTTTTTTAGTCCAGGGGGTCTGGAGGATGGGGTCTGGGGGTTGGAGTCAGGACCGTCTAGAGCAATTTTGAGGCCCTAGACAACCAAATAATACTCCGTATTTACTTATGAAATACAACGTACTCTCGTCTCAGTAACGCTATGTTATGATAAAATTGTACAACTATTAAAACAATTTAGTTTGTGGTTGATATTGAAGTGATAAATTAAGCATGATTTAGAACCACACAAATTTTGTCAAATTTGATATGTGACATTCTTAATGCATAGGCTAAAAATTAAAGATGAACAAATTTTAGTGGAGTAGAAAGAGTATAACTTCAATATATATTTTAGTAAAAAAATACAAAAACTATTATATGAAATAAACAGGAATGGCAAAGCGAAAAAGAAATATTAACGTGGCTTGAATTGGTAAGTTTTTTGTGTTTACACAATCTTTTAACCTATAAATACATATAATTATTTTACAAATTTGGAGAGGATCGGAGCCTAAAAATTAAAAAGGACATTCTAATTACGTCTCGAATAGAAGTAAAGTACAATCCAAAATATACCATATGTTACTAATGCAAAGAATATCATTCTTTGAATGTAAGCAATAAAAGAGTGAAAAACACATGGAGATTCTAATAGCAAATTTGGTAAGAAAACTACTACAATCAAGACTCCAATTAATATAAGTTTGTTTTCCTTAAATATTACTATCTATTACGTAATACTTTTTTAATCGAGATAATAGTCAATCCAATTAATATAAGTTTGTTTTCCTTAAATATTACTGAACATGCATATGCATTATAGTTGACACAATCACGATCACTAAAGTTATAGTCGCTGAAGTATAAAAAGACACATTTTGTTCACTCTTATTTAGATCATATATTTGTCATTATTTTCAAATATATCACCGAACATGCTTAATTTTGATTTTTTTAATATTTTGCATCAACTTAGCTTTAGTTTTTTAACTAATTTTTAAGTATTTCAATTAATTAGATTAAGGATTTAAGTATATGTATTATTATTTTTTAAAATGGAGGCCCTACACAATTTGGAGGCCCTAGACAAATGTCTAGGCTACCTCCCCCATAGCCGGCTCTGGCTGAAGTAATCAGGGCTGAAACTCACTCCATTGAGTTTCAAACCCTTATGTGCCTAGCGGGTTTTGAAATCGAAACATCCAATTAGGCACGGTAATCTCACAATCAGTTGGACTGGAATGCTTGGTTACCCTCTTTGTTTGATTATCCAAATATTTCTCATTGTAATTTATTTCCAATCTCTGCCTCATCTAAATCTCCCACTTGTCCAAACGCCGCCAGAAACCGCTACCCGGGAAAGTAGCGGAAACTTTCGATGATTTTGTTCATCATTTTACATTTTTTAGATTTCTTCGAAAAAGGTCGCCAGAATATTTTTCGACGGTCAAAATGACATGTTTCGTTGCAATAGTGACATATGTGGCGACGACAATGATATAAAATTCGATAAAAATATGCCAATGATATAAAATTCTGACAGTGACATCACGTTTATTCAAATTCATTAGTTTGTTACTCAAATCTATCTATGTAAAAAATATTTTTTAGAAAATGAGCTCAAATTAGTCATATTTAAGAAAAAAATTCTCATATATATATATATATATAGAAATAATTACACACATATCTAATAAATGTTGTTTCCACCATGACGTACATGCACTACTCATTCTAACTTTTGCCATATTTTTATAAATTTATTTCAGTAATTTTTTGTTTTAAAAAAACCTCTAATAAATGTCTAATTTTAATTTGTTATAAAGAAATAGTATCTCTAATATTTATGGTGACAGTTGTATTTAGGAGGAACTATTCTTCAGCTCTTTACATACCAAAGAAAATTCCAACTGAATTGTAACTAACCTTTGGAGCTCTTATATTTCATTCTCTGTCACTTTCTATGAAAACAATTGGAAAAAGTATTTCCAATAATAAAAATTCCAAAGAAATGGTAGGGCCAGCTGGGAACATAAAGCCCGCCGCAGAACGATCCCCGCCGGGGAGCAAACCGCAGTCTATAAATGCTACCGGAAAAGCCGACCAAACCTCACCAAAGTTACCGTCGCCGGGGCAGCAACACACGGGCGTGCTCAACCAGACACGCAGGTTGTCGGTTTGTCCCGCGAAAATGGCCGTCGGCGGTCTTGCCATCGCCGTCACCATAGGCTACTTTACTTTGTATTCCAACAAAAAGCCGGAAGCCACCGCCATTGATGTGGCTAGGGTTGCCACCGGCACCGGAACGCCGACCAATACCCGCCCTCGCAATTAATTAGGCTCTTGTGCTTAATATATAATTTAAAGATATCACTTAATTGCATTTTAATTGGCTCTAAAAATTTTTATTGTAATGGGACTCTACCCCGGGTTACTCTTTTTTATTTTGTTATGAATTGATTTGTTTGTTGCAAATTTTAATTTTAATTATTAATTAATGTGTTGTATTATTTTTTGTTATGTTTACGGTTTCAGATTTGGGTAGTTGGCTCCATTTTGTAATGTATGCAATTTATGTAATATAGCCGTAGTTATTAATTACTCTTTAATTAAATAGAAATAAAAAAAATTTGAAATTCTAAAATAGGGTTATCATATTTTTTATCCTTTGAATATGAGAAAATTTCTGCCAAGTTTGGCATTATTAGACTTTAAAACATGACATTTTTTTCCAAACATGACAGATTAATCCTATTTAGAGAATAAAAAACATGATACTCCTATTTTGGAATTTCAAAACGTTTTTGCTTCTATTTAGAGCAATTTCTATTTATCGTCCATGGTTGCAAGTTTGAGCCTTGTTATTATACGTTAATCACCCTTTCATTTGCTTCTTCCGTTCTTCTCCGCTCTGGTAGACTTTTCTCCAATGGCTACTTTTTTATTTAATTTTTATTTACATCAATGAATTTGAATTCTCATCTAAAATTAAAGCATTGAATTTGATTTTTTTAAAAGAGAAAGGAAATTTCATTAAAAACATCTTCCTCGCTTTCTTTGATTCAGATCATTTGTAGTGCTAAAGAGACTAAAAGGTTAAATATAGAATTCATCCATAGAAAAAAGTGTTTAGACTCCGTTAATATTGGTTTTTCCTGCATTCCAGTACGGCCAATAAAATACGATTATCATATTTTTTACATATCGGTTTATTAAAATATTAATTAAATTATTATAAGTAGTGTTTTTAATTTTTTTCCTGAATAATCATGAAATTAAAAAAATACACATTCTAATGTTAAAAACTAAATTGTTACTTTTTTTATTATTTTCAGTTTTAATAAGAAAATGAGTTCATAAAATTCAGTTATTTTTTTTTTGTTTGGATTAAAAATTTATGTTTCATGTTTTTTAGGGCTCCAAAAAACTCTAGCAATTAAAAACTTCAGATTTAACTTTATATATGAGATATTTTTTTCATATGAAATATCATAAAAATTTATAAATTTTGATATATCTTTTGAAAAAAAATGGAATACAAAAAAATTATAAATAAGTTATAAGCCTTTGAAATAAAATACTCCGTAAGAATTTTTACGCAGGGTGATGTCAGCATGTTGCCTGTCTTTTCTTCCATTTTCTTTCTTTCCTTTTTTTTTTCTCCTTGACAACTCCCCTCTATATTGAACTCTCTCCGTCCCTTTCAGGCGTTTAATCCACCACTACACATAATTAGGCGTACAAAAGCTCCACATTTAACTCTGGACTCATCTCTCCCACTACAAATGGTCTAAAATGGTTGAAGGAATTGATTGATATATAGTGATGTAGACCTATCATTAAAAATATCCTAACAAAGTAACTACACGCAAATGTCAAGTAACTTAATAAGTGACTGAAAAACTCCAAAGTGAGTTTTGATTCATTTATGAACACAATGTTTCTCGAAATGATTAATTAAGTTTTATTGGTTTCGATTCGGTTCAGTTTGGAACGGGTTTGCAGAATTGGTACCAAACAAAAACATACCATTTTTCGGTTTGATTCGATTCGGTTTAATTCAGTTTGGTTCGAATTGGGTTTGTTATCATTAAATAATATGAAATTTTTATTGAATTTCTTTAGTTCAGTTCGGTTTTGTTCGGTTTTTATCATTTCGGTTTGGTTCGATTTAATACGATTTTGAAGAAATACTTCCAAACTCAAACCAAATTACATATGGTCCGATTTCGGTTCGGTTTGGCACTGTTCGGTTAAACCAAACAAACCAATATGTCTACTCCTAGTCCTAATAATAAGTGTTGTCGAGTGGTGGGAGATTTGGATCAATTGACCAAAGTTCGAATCACCGCAGCGACCGGGTGGAGGTCACAGAACCTGAAATAAGACTGGGCCTCTGGTGCGCACAGGTGTATGAGCCTTCTGCCATTCTGCTGACTGAGTCACTGTGACTAATCTCCCCACCATCCTGTCGGATCGGGGTGGGGGGCTCCTGGGGTCGGAGATTCCACCTTTTGGATCAATAATAAGTGTCGTCGTTATGGTAAATTGAGAATCTCAATTAATCAAATCATTTGTTAGTTAGCTTACAACACAATAAGGAGCTGTAATAAAATAAATACAACCTTTTCGACCTAAAATAGCTACTGTGCCGCCATATTTATTGATTTACAAAATTTAATACCAAAATTAGAACTTTGACTTCGTAACATTCTAATATCTTCAAAAATAACTTCAAAGGTAAGATATATCTTCAAAATTAGGGTCTTTCTATCTAAATGATGTATTATGGACATATTGGCTGCATGTTTTCTGGCAGCTGCGTCACTGTGCTCGAAATGAGCCTATCGTTTGGCCACTGCTACCAGCAACAAACCCCACTCGACACCCTATCCATGGATGAGCGTACATGCTTCTCCATCGGCCTCTGTTTCTCAACCACGCCATCCTCACGGTCATCGGTATTGATCTGCCACCGATTGATCTGCTCGAACATACAAGATCTAGATCGAAGTTTGTCTTTCGTTCACAGTCCGTCGGATCTGAAACTCCCCACTACCTAGTCAATGAGAACTGTGAAAGTAGCTTGACCAATCCCCCTGGATCTAGAATCATACCATTAGCGACGAACTTCATTCACCTTGCCGCTGGATCTGTTCGCAACCCAACTCGCGTCGCCCCTGCAGGATCCCATCGCTGAAAGATCTTGCCCACCGGATCTGCAATTGTGAGTGCTCCGTTTGACGGTTGTCGCTGCATGATCTACTCTTCTGTCGCACGCCGTTCGTCCAAGAATGTCGCTGTTGTTGGCTACCATCATTATCCTTGACAGACTCCAGGTATCTCGAAGCATCCCAATACATCATAGATAACGAATTACTCCTGGAGCTTTAAATGAAGGTCAGTCTAGCTTCCCTTCTCTTAATCTTAATTTATACGTAATATATAACATACGGAGTATCTATTACAGAATAATTGAAGGATGTCCCTATTTTGTTTTCACTTTTGTTCTATTGATAATTATCATTAGTTTCCCTAATTTGTTCAATATTTTTTTTTCCCATTCAAGGCAAATTTGTTATACGTACTATTGTTTTGTTCTAATAGAGATCTATCATTTGTTCAATACTTTTTTCCACACAAAAAAAATCAGACGATTGGAATAGCTAATTGGCTTATTCAGAGAAGAAACTTTTCTGATTCTGCTAATTGTGAGAAGAAACTTTTCTGATTCTGACGAATTAACTATTAACGTATAGAAGTACTTGTTAATTAATCGTGATATACTTTATGGAATAGTCCATATGATTTATGCCATCATTTATTAAATGCTTCGTATTGTTGTTAGTGTATGATGTATACATACACACAATATTTAACTATATAAAATGACATACACACTTCATCTATATACTTCATTTTTTATGGTTATGTATTAACCATATACTAAACGGAACGGAGTATGTAGTTTACTCATGCTTATGTTGTATGTGTTACTATATACTTCTTACTATTTTCTTACAAGTGCATGATAATGGAAAGTCATTTCTTGTATAGATATTTTTCATATAATTGTGTTTCAACTCTCTCACAAATGCACCTTAATTCTGTGACCATCATAATATTTGGAATTTTTTTAATGTACTCAGACAACTTGAGTAGTACTTGAATTATTAATTAATGTTGGAATCACCATTTATACTCTATTTTACGAGACCATGAATTTGTCTATGTTGGGAGTATATTTAATATACGTCACTATAATAATGGTATATTCCACTGCAGTATTTTTTTTAAGTAATATATGACATTTTGTCTCAATAAGAGATAAAAGCATTGATTTAACAGGTATATATTCTTCTAACCACATATATTTTTGTGAAAAGAAAATCACAAAAACTTATTTGATATAATAAAAGTTTCAATTTATATACATATCACTACACTTACACTAATGAACTAGTATAGAGTAACATGTCTCCACGAGTTTATGATTGTGTTGTCACATGCCGATCAATAACTTGTGTATTTTTATTGTGTAGTGTGACACACAAAGAATTCTACTTGGATAAAGAAACTTCCAAAGAATATCTATGGTGATGTGATTATTGGACAAAATCCATTCAGTAGCAACGAAGAACCTTTGAAGAACAAGAGATTCGGTACTCTTTACTTGATGTGAGATTACACATGGATTTAATCAGATGTCTGATATTTATGATGGAAATGTAAAATTCCCTTGAAAATAGTTTTCTCATGTATTTGACTTTGTATTTCTTTTTTAAGATTGTTTTAGAGTAGCCTTGCTAATTTTTTAAAAAAAATCTCATCTTAAGGATTTGTATAAATGCTATTAATCTCAAATCGTAATTTGAGAGAGATGTGCATCTAAATTAAATGGATCTCTATGTAATTGTTAAAACAAATGTATCTAAAGAAATACATTCATGGAAGATAGAGTGATATGTACCTCATTCTACTTGAGATCATAGCACTCTAAAGTATATGAGTGACATTTGCAAATGATTACAACATATAACAAATAGATGTTTTAACTCATTTTGGTGATACACAATAAATAGAGGAACAAATTTTTATTTATTGAAGTAGTTCCTTATTATCATTGATCAAGGGCAATGATTGTTCTAAATATTTCATATCTAAATGAATAGAATTGTACGCCTAACCTCTAAATGCATCTAGAAGTTAGCAAAGTTTACTACGTTCTAAATTTGTTCATCTCAATGGTTTTCACATAGAATAGAACCATGTCATAGGTCCAGCTCAGGTGAGCGGCCTCTTTTCAAAGTAACAAGAGTTGACTTATACACCTTTGTGGGGCTTCCTTGAACCCTCATATTGTGGGGACATCAGTGTCCACCGAGATACCCTCAATGGATTTTCACATAGAAACTCTATGAAAATGAGATAGAAAATATTATATTGCGTAAATAAATGCAAAATAAAATGCATATTTAAAAAAGTAATGAGTTAAAATTGTCATTGACTTGTATAAACTTTGAAATAACTCATTCAAGTTATTAATCACTCGAATAAAGGATACAATTGCATCCAACACAAAGTAAATTATTGGTCTTAGCATTGATAAATAGAAAAACAACATCTTCTAA